TTTGTGAAAGTCTGGATTTAGAGGGTTCTCCAGGTTTCCCTGTGACATGGTGACTCTGACCTGTATTTTGCTGGGGACCATGATGGGAAAGGCTTGGGAGGGCCCTTATGAATGGAGTCTCCCTAGGTGGTGGACTGAACTTGGAAGGCTAACTTCCACCTCTTCTCTGTGAATTTTAGCAAGGCATTTGATCTTACTAGATCCCACTTTCTTTATTGGCAGAAGCATGTGTGAAATGCCTGTGCCAGTGTCTTACATTGGGAGACTGTGAGGACTAGCTGAGGTAAAGCCAATGTACACCTCTCCCAGCCCAAGCCTCACACAGCAGTTCCATAAAAATCACATTCTCTCCATTAGACATGTGGAAGACAGAGGACAGTTTCAAAGAAGGGTCAGCTGAGATTCCTTATCATAGAATGAAAGGGGATTCTAAAAAACAGCAAACATCTGTTTAACTTAAAAGACAGGCTGTAGACTAGAGCTTGCATAACTGGTGTGGCTATTAGGCTGGCAAGGTGTCTTTTAAAACTTACATTTATGTGTTCTGTGCACCTGTGTGCTCTCACTCATGCTATGGTATGCATGTGGAGATCAAGGGATAACTTGTGGGAGTTGTTCTCATGTGGGTCCTGGAGATGCAATTCAGGCTGTCAGGCTTCACAGCAAGCACCTTTACTCTCTGAACCATCTCAACACCTCAAGAATTCATTTTTGACATGAGGATTTTGTGCTATATAGTGACAAGAGCCTTGAATACCCTCACAGGCACTAAACAAAGGGCAGTTTCTAAAAAGGAAAGGGAAAAGTTGAATTATCACACCCACTTCAGATAATAATTCTGTTTTCTTCTCCCTGTTCTGAGATTGTCACCTAGTTCTGTCCTCTCCTCACATGGGAGGGCCACTGCATCAATCGCTAAAGCTCACCCAGGCAGCTTCCCCTTTCCGATTCTACTAGATGCACTAATCCATTCTCCAAAGAAAAGAAAGGGCCCATTTGTGTTTTAGGGAGGAGGAGGAGATGGGAGGCATGAGGACCCTAAAAATCTGAATTTTTCAAAACCAACACTAAAAAAAAAGCTCAGGTGCTCTGGGGTTGTAGAACATTCAGTGAGCTCTAATATACATTGAAATTGCACAGTGTATATACATTGGCCATTCAATACATTTGGGTTATGTTAGGTGAGAGGTGTTTACCAAAATTTGGAAAGAAGCCGGCCGTGTTATACAAAAACAACTTTTAAAAGACATTAAATCCCCAGTGAAGTAGTGGTGTCTATATAGTGAACATCTGAGAAGCCCTCCTTTATATACACAGAGAAGCACTGGAGAGCCAGCAAGATGGCCCGGTGGATAAGGGGATTAGCCTGACAACCTGAGTTCAATCCCTGGAACCCACATAAGGGTGGAAGGAGAGAACCAGCTCCATGGAGTTGTCCTCTGACCTCCACACATGCACTGTAGCAGGCACATACACACACAGACACACAAATCGTGCAAATAAACATGCAATAATAATAAATAATTTTTTACTGAAAAAAAGCAGAAGCCCTAGAGTACAGTGGTTTCTTAGTACACGACACAAGTCTATGGATGGCATAGTATGTGTGGTGGAAGGGGTAAGCGTGAGATTCAGGAGACTTCCAGAATGGAAAACATTTTGCCAGCAGCAGTACATCAGGATAGGAGCTGTGGTCTGTGTTGACTTTGTTCTTTTCTAGGGGTCCAAACTGCACTCATCTGTTTTAGGGCTACAAAAGAGCCAGGGGGCATAGAGGGGACAGGGCAAATCCGTTCCCACAAAGAAGCCAAGCTTTAGCCCACAGGTCACTGGTCATCTGTGTAGAGAGAGGGTGGCAGTTCCCATTACGTGTCAAGGGAAGGTGACTAGGAACTTTTGAACAGCTCCCCCTTGGAGTTAAACAGACTGACATGTCACATTTGGGGTCTGAGCTCCACAGGTTAGACACATAATTGACTGATTTCATTTTATTTATTTATACTAGACTAGATTAGATTAGACTCTAGTCCTAACTAAGTTGTTCAACCCCAGAGCAATAGACAGAGATCACATGAACCCACACTTACCCCCAGAATAATTTTCCTTTCATTAGTTATAAATACCTCCACATTATTGTGCTGGACATGATGTATGCAAATGGAGGCAGGAGACCTAAGCTCATTAGGAAAGGGACAGAGGCTTGGAGCATGGAGAGGACACAGTAGAGCTGATAAGAGTGGCCTTGTCCAGAATAGTGCATGGGAGCTTTCTTATCTCACTTTGGCAGGAGGTGCTGTGGGCTTCCTGTGCGAAATCAGGAGCGAGCGCTGCTTTCCTCTTGTTGTTCAGCTTCCTCCCCCCTCAAGACGGTTCCCAGCACAGTGGTTATCTTTGCATCTTCAAACATGGCACAATCTACTTCCTTAAGAGCTTGATGTATTCTTAAGACAGGCAAATTCCCCTCCCCCTAAATCTCTTTTCAAGTGGTGTTACAGAATCAGGCTCCTAAATGACATTCTATTTTTATGGTTCCAATTACAAAGAGGGAAAAATAAACGCCCCTAAATTAGAAAAGAGCCCTAGAACCTGTCCCTTTCATTTGGAGGACCTGGCAGAAAGTGGGGCCTATGGTTTCCACATGAGGCCCTGAGTCTTGGTATCTGTCCTTAGAGACAAGGACAGCAATGGGGGAGGCAGGGGTCAGAGGCTGACAGCCCCAAGTGAACTCAGCAGACTGTATTTCCCTTGGGAAATGACTAAACTTGCTTTACTCTAACATATTTCTTTCTATTTCCTGAAGGCCAAGTGTATGAAATTTAAGCTCTTTGGCGAAGCCTTCCTTTATCTTTTTCAGTGTTTTGGGGGTTGGGAGGGGTTAGTCCCAGAGGGTGGGGGGACACAGGAAGCTTCCAGGCATAAAAGAACCTGAGTTATTTGAAACCACAGTCCTGAGCCCACATACCCATATGTAATCCAGGTCTGGAGGTGTGGGCATGAGCGTACGTAGACAGTGCATTGCTTCTGTATGCACTGAGGGTGAGGCAAGAGTAGGCTGTCACTAGCAATTCAAGGTACCAATGCTGTACTCTAGAAAACAGAATGTTGATCATGAGAAAAAGGGAAAAGGGCCCTTTATATGATAACTTTGAAACAGTCATTAAAAGGTTGCCAATAGAAGAGAAAATATGTGATTTCTCCTTGAATCATTTTTTTCTACTAATTAATAAGAGTTAAAATGTTTGATTTATATTTCCTGCTAGTTACAAAGAATAGACAGCAGAAATCACAGAAACACCTTAAGAAAATATCGAGCGTTATTCTTTTTATTTTGAATTTTATAACTTAGTATAAAGCATACTCTTTTGGCACTAAGAATTGATTTTAGACATCTGGAGAAATCTGACATAGGGTGCAAACTCTACTGTGCGATTATTGCAATTCTCTAGATATAAAAGTGGCATTGTGGTTGTATTAAAAGATGTGCACGTTGGGCTGGAGACATGGCTCAGTGGTTAAGAACACTGGTTGTTCTTGCAGAAGACCCGGATTCAAATTCCAGCACCCACATGGCAGCTAACAACTGTCCATAAGTCTAGTCCTAGGGGATCCAACGGCCTCTTCTGTCCTCTGCGGGCCTTGCGTGACACGGGTGCACTAACACACATGCAGGCAATACACTCATACCCATAAAAAAATAAAAATAATAAAAATTTAAAAATGTGTATATCTTTTAGCAATACCCATGCACACAAATAGCATATAGGTAAGTCTGAAATGTGGGCAATGGGGGTCACAGGATCAGCTCAGTGGTAGAGCATTCATCTAACATGAGCCCAGGGTTCCATCCTGAACAACACATGCACACACACGCATGCGCACACACACACACACCTGTGTGAATAAGAAGACCTGGCCATGTCTCCCTGTAGCCATGGGCTGGGGTTAGGGACTCAGAAGCAGGATGTGGATCTGAGGAGGTGGTAGATGCACTTCAGGAGAACATTCTGGGTCATGTAATGAAAAGAGAGCAGAGCCCAGCAGACTGGATCTTTCAACATTCTAGAGTCACTTCCCAGCTCAAGGCCCAGGAGGAATGATAGATGATCCTGGGCCTGCCCCGCTCCTGCCACTTCTCCTTCTCACTTACTGTGTCCTGGTTTCATCACTGTTATGGCTATTTAGGATCAGTGATAGACCAGACTGGCCTCACAGAGATCCACCTGCCTCTTCCTCCGAAGTGCTGGGATTAAAGGTGTACACCACTATGCCAGGCCCAAAACTGGGCTTTAAAAATCCTCCTCATTTGAAAAATCTCTAGAATCTGCCTGATACACAAACTTGTGATCAGATCAGCAAGCTTTCTGATCACCAAAAGTTCTAGTCCAGATGGCAAGATGATGAAATACTTAAAAAGGGAAAGAGAGAGATTTCATCTTTTATAAACAAACACTTGAAGCCTGAGAAGTTAGAGTTTTCTGTCTTAATCCCCAAACTTAGAAAGAAATTGTTGAATTAACTACTCCAAGATGTTTATTTCCATAGGCACCTAATTAGCTCTGGGGGAAAAAAGTAGCTGTATAACTGAATATTTTGACTTAAAAGCCCACCTGTGCATATGTGAAATGCCTTTATTTCCTCGAGGTTACTATTCATTAGCATAATTTCATACACCGTCTCACCCATATTTTCATGTTACTTCCACCCTAGGAACTAATTAAAATCCAGACATTAAATTTCCTAATTTATGTGTTTTCATCACTATTTAGACCAGGGAGAACACATGGCCTGGTTCTGCTGGAGTGTCTTCGTACTGGGCAAATACATCTTCTAATTTTAGGTTCAGAGTACAGGGGGGCGGGGGGGAACTAGAGCAAAGAAGATGCACATAAAAGTTTGTGATTTTGTTATCTGAGGACATCTCTAATAGTTTCCATTTCGCTCGTCACCTCCGCTGTTCTGTGCTGAAAGCAACATTATAATAACTTCCTTTTTTTAAATAGGTATGACCTTTGTTCCAATAATGAAGAATCCTTTATCTTGAATCCTGACAGCAACATAGGAAACAGAATTGAGAGCATCACTGAGCGCACAGCAGTAATAGAAGGAACAAATAAGGTACTGTTCATAAAGATGAGCTTTGGGATATTTTTAGAACATACTCTCAGCTCCTAGTTCTAAGTTTATTGGAACCAGAAGTAATTCAAATGCTCAAAATTCAGAGAAAGACCTCCAAGGTATGTCTTCATGAAGCGGCACATTACAGTTACTCGAGTTGCTGTATTTCCCCAACTGCATTCTCCAGTTCTAAGATTGACAGAACTTGTTCTTAATGAATGGGTAGAGCGGCCCCTTGAACACTGAGCTCACACATACCCAAGGCTCTCCATCCTAGCTTTGCATTAGATCTTCTTCCAGCTAGTGCTGTATTCATATCTTTGAAGTGGGGCCTGGAGCCCACACGAGTTTCCCAGGTGGTTCTACCATATGACCAGGCCTTAAAATCACTAACATAAAGTGGGATCTCAGTAAACAAAAGCCAGGAAAAGACTTCAGACCAAAATTCAGGTTTTCCATCTCATACAATATCATGCCTTTCCTTCTATCCCTGTCAGGAAAAGCCTAGACTGAGTGTGTGAACGCACAGAGTCTATCGGATTTGCCAGCCTCACCAGGTCCCGTGCACCTACCTCTCCCTGCTACTCTTTGCCATTCCTTTTCTACTTCCTGACCTCCTCTGAGCCTAGGCAGTAGCTGATACCCCATGAACCAGGAGAGTATGTTTGCAAATCTGCTATTGTCAGTCATGGGTAGCAATGTTTAAAAAAAAAAAATCAAATAATTCCTTGCCAAAATGTCTATTTACACATAGGTATCTTGATTTGGAGTAGATTGTCAGTATAAACACATGGTCTGCTCAAGTGTGGTTAGACTTACAGTATCTGTGTATTCTGTGGTGTCCTTGAATTAGAAGATGAAAAAGCAGATACACCATTCTCTATATAGGCTGTAACAGGTAGAACAAAAGACCTCTGCATTTTTCATTATCTGAAACCTTTTGGTATATGCTAATGCAACAGCATCTTTTGACAAGCCAGAATGGTTTTCTCCATTTTAAACATTAGTAGCCCAAAGATACACAGCTAAAAAGGGCAAAGAAATTCAAACTAAAGTCTCACTATTAAAAACTCAGCTCTCATGGCATAGAGATTAAAGCGTTCATGATTTCTATGACAGTATCAGCAATCATTTGCCAAGGATTTAGGAAAAGTTTTTATAGCTATAGTAATAGATGGTGTGATTTATAACTCTTTTTCTTTAACCAACTAAACAAGAGCAAGAAAAGTTCCACAATGTATCTATTGGTGAAAGAGTTTAATGTATATTTAGATAATAATAGTTAGATAATAGATAAGAGTATAGTCTTACATAGTTTTCTTACTATTAGAAACACTTCATCCCATTTGAATGTCCCAAACTTGGACATTTGATTTGGGTGGCAATTGTTCACTAGCACTAGACAGCAAATTTGTTCTGCTACCAGAACTAACAAAATTTCCAGATGCTCTTTAGTGATGTCCATTCATTGCAGCCTCTTCCTGTCCATCCAGGTGTATGATCATGATCATGATGGTCTATTTTGTCATCTTCTCTACAAAAAAATATTCAGTAAGAAATAAAATGGAAGGACTGGAGAAATGGCTTAGCAGTTAAAAGCACTTGCTGCTCTTAGAGAGGACCTGGGTTCAGTTTCCAGCACCTTCATGGTGACTAACAACCATCTGTGACTCCAGCTCCAGGGGATCTGATGCTCTCTTCTGGCCTCCATGGGCATTGCATGCATGTGGTCCATTTACATATATGCAGTCAAGACATTCAGACACATAAAAATAATTAACTAAAGAAGTAACATGGAGTGTGAAAAAAATGGTTGCAATTTCTGATGAACTTGAACTCGTATAACAACTTGACTCCATGTGATGCCTGTTAAAATTGGTGTCAGTAGAATTAAAACCTGGTTGAGATTAAAAAGATTTCTAATTCTCCACGTGGGTTCGAAATAAATGTATTGACTTGCAGTTCTGTAGGTAAGCGAAAGATCTCCAACGTGGACTTCTGTGTGCAGTCAGCACATGTACCAGCTGGCCCACATTGGGATCAAGCTCCTCTGTAAAATCAAATGTAGATCTGTCCATTTCTCTCACCTGGAGCTTTCTCCTTCAAAGAAGTGGAGCTAGTGATACTTAGTCTATCTAGCTTCCTGTTGCAAAGATGGAATAGCATTTCAAGAAGGCCCTATCTAGCTTCCTGTTGCAAAGATGGAATAGCATTTCAAGAAGGCCCTGTGCTGCTACTTCGACAAAATGGCTGCCATATATACCCTAGTCAAGTTTCCCAAATGGTTGCAGTCATATACAGTGAAGAGTATTTACTAAATATTTATTTGCATTATCAAACTTTTAATGTTCTTTTGAAAATAAGTTGAAATATACATAAAGATTCTTTAATCAGCTGGTACTAACATATCATACTGAAATAAATAGTTGGTTTCATGTTCTGAATTTAGGAGAATCTACTTTTACTTTTTGCATTAACTAATATACATTTTATGTAGAAAAAGCTCTTCATTTGATGGTAGCTAGCAGAATTTTGCTATTTCTAACTCACATGCAGTGTTCTTTACAATTAAATCTATTCTCTTTTTTGTACATTTTTAGAAAGTATGTTAAAGCCGAGCATGGTGGCACATGCCTTTACTCCCAGTGCTGAGGAGGCAGAAACAGGCAGATCTCTGTGAGTTTGAGGCCTGGTGTACATAATAACAAGTTCTAGGCCAGCTGAGGCTACAAGAAAACCCTGTCTCAAAAAAAAAGCACATTAAAGTCCCACAATGATCCTTTACCCATAGTCACTTTGCTTGCTCTGCAGTGCTTTGCCTTGGTTGGACGGGAGTTAGAGGAACACTTAAATGGGATCCCTAGTAGATTTCAGGGACGTAGGTTTGTTGATATTGTTTGGCTCAGTGAAGGGTATAGAGGGAAATAAAATTGTTTCCTTAACAGCAAGGTTTGGCATACATTTGTAACATTCAAGTCATCAACTGGAGTCACTAAAAGTAAATGTAGAATTTTCATATTGTTCAAATGTTCATATCATCAGGTTTGGGGGCTAGTGGATAAGAAATTGGAAGTTCACAGAACCCTGTATCAACTCTGTGAAGCTGGAGAATAGTGACAGCCTTACTGCTATGCTGACATTTCCATGAACTCATTTGAGGGCACAGGGAGACTTGGGGGCACTCCACAGAGCAGTTATTGCACTAACTGCAGAGCCGTGGCTTGTGAACCAGTTCCCACACAGCTCCCACATGGCCCCCAATCTTTTCTAATTCTCACCTCTGCTTTCCCATCAATTGGTTCTAACATGCCACTCTAGGCCAATTTTAGATTCTTTCTGTACATCTACTACTTCTCCCTGAAATACTTAAAGGAAAGCTATATTAGAAACATCTGAGATTAAAATCACTGTTCTATAAATAGATTTTTAAAAAACTAATTCTGGAAATTAGACTGAATGACACATCACCCCATTCATTCTATTTCTTGAGGTTCAAACGACATTGTGGAAGTGAATTACTAAAGGTTTAGCAAGAGGGAAGGAAGGAAGGAACATGAAGAAATCCAAACTTACAGTAGTTGATGACAGCTTTCATGAGTGTCCCTGAGTGTCATAGAAAAGTGCACAGAGAATGTGAGTAACAGATGAGTCTGTAAGAGTGTAGGATCACAGTAGACTAGAAAGCTCTCCTTGAAGCTGCTTACCCCTAAATAGTCGATCAACAGAAGGGGACTTTTAATGTTGTAAGTTCTTGTGTTCTCCTCTATAGAAGGCCAGTGTGAAATTTAAGAAAATGTGAAAGAATTGTTATTCTCTGTCTCTCTAGTGATTCAAGTTTGAACACCCGAATTATATTTTAGCACTTCCGCTCTCATCCTAGTCCTCAGTTCTCTTCCATTTGTTTTCAGTTGTAGAGAATGAAAACAAATTATAGGGCAAATGCAAGCAGACAGCCTTGAGATGTTCTTTTGGTATGCCCTATAAAATAAATGATTATAACCCCAAACATCTGTTACAACTCAGATCCTTGGCACTTTCTCTTCTAAAGCATGAAGGGATAATTTGGTGTTCCAACTGTTAGGCTATTTTTATTTTTTCCCTTTGAAACAATGGTATTTGGTTGTGGGTCTCAGGGATCAGGTTTGGCCCTCATGCATCTGTACTCACTGTCCTATGAGGAGTTGTCTTCCAATCCAACTGCAGCTACTAAACTTAAGTTCTTCTCTGACCTTGCCTGGCTTATATTGTCAAGTATCTTTATGAGAAAATGTTTAAATTTATAGCTTAAAATCATATTCTCCAGAAAAGTATTCTAGAAATGAATATAGTTGGTCATAAGATTTATGTTTCACCTATTGTAAAAAAAAAAAAACAAAACTGTTCTCTTTAATTACGACCTTCTCATTCACCAATCACATTTTCAAACAATATCACTTGGGGAAAAAAAAAAAAAAACGAAGAAGAAAACTTGAGTTTATATGAAATTCTATCAAAGAAGGAAAGCAGCCTTTCTGTATACAGTAGCATTTCATGTATATAACCCAATGCTGCGGACTAAAGAGGCTATAGCTTTCAAGGAAAAACCAATCAAATAGTAGACAGAACTTAATCAATTGGCCTGTGTTATTCAGTGTACAGTTTCGGTGGGAAACACAATTTGACACAGAGACTGAGAGCACAGGTTCTAGAGTTAGACACACCAAGACCAAAGTTCTGCCCAGGCCTGTCTGTGGTCTCTGCAGTCTTTGGGTTAACCACTTAGCCTCTATAAGCCTCAGTTGCCTAGCTGGTTCAATAGGCTGATGCCCTTATCTCACAGGGCTAAAGAGAAGATTAAATGAGATAATGCTGTCCAGTACATTCAAGGGCCCAGAAAAGAGAAATGATACACGCTGCTTACAACACAATTCCTTCTTCTACCTTATCAGAAACTTTAGTGAGGTAAATTCTGGAGGAAGCCTGACTGTGGATAAGGTACCTTATTTTGGGAGGCATCATTCAGACAAAGAATTTTTGAATTATATTACTATCTCCATGGTCTGTCATAATGACATAGATTCATATCATTTCTGAGTACCTCAACTCTATTTTCTGATTATACAAAAATTCTTGGAGCCTCTAAAATGGCTGCAGCCACCCCAGACAACGTGCACAGCTCTTAAACATGACAGATGTAGACATGTAGGTTCACTTCCCCTTACTACGAAACTCAGCTCTTGTTCTCAGTTCAGCAAAAAAAAAAACCAGCTTTAACAAAAGTCCAAACATGACTCACAGAGGCAGGTAGTGACTGTCCAAAATTTCATATACTCTCAAGTCAACCAAAATGAGTTTTCTACCTATTTACTGAGCCATAACAACTCTGGAATCTTGTTGGTGTGTATAATAATTAAAAGGAGATGGCTATCAGAACTTAAAAATCCCCACCCTTCATCAAAATTAACAATCAAAATAGATATTTGAGCTTTCTTTGAACTCTTCTCCACTAGTCATTTGCCTTGGTATTGTGTTCCCTTGCAAAAGAGAAATATATATTGGGGCTCTAAGCATGGAAATGATTCTGAACACCTTAAAAGTTTACAAGCAAGGAGTGCTTGCACATCTCTGTCTCCCTAGGAGCATCCGGCTGTGCCTTGACAATCACTGGGTAAACGTCAGCTAAATTGAAGGAAAAATACCGCAGATTACAGCCCTTTTCATTACCAAAATTTCAATAATACACAAAGAATATATAAGTAGATGTAATTAGGCAGATACTTCCAACAAAGGAGAAAGCATTTGGTGGGGGGCGGGGAGAAAGGAACCTGATGACTTAAAAATGTAGAGTGTGGGGGCTGGAGAGATGGCTCAGTGGTTAAGAGCACTGGCTGCTCTTGCAGAGGACCTGGATTCAGTTCCCAATGCCCACACGGTGGCTAACAACCATCCATAACTCCACTTCCAGGGGATCCAATGCCCTCTAACCTTGGATTGCATGACATGACTGCACATGCATGCATGCAGGCAATACCTTCATACACATAAAATAAAATAAAAAATAATATAAAAAATGTAGGGTGTGTTTTTAGTCTTCTTGATCTGTAGACTAAAGAGAGATATGCCTTAATTTCTCAGAAGAGATAAGAAACCACAAATAAAGTGCCAACCACGTTACTTAATAGTTCAGAAACTATTAAGACCCTTCCCAAAGACTGAACATTTGTGAAAATGCTCAGTGCTTGGGAAAGTGCCTGAGCACATGACAGCCTCACGTTATGTCAACTTTATCTTGAGCTAAGACACCCAACTTTTCCAGAAGCAACAAAACAACCCCCAAAATCTTACAGCCCATGACACGTTATTTGTGTCTTGGGACATAGGCAGCATGTATGTGTGTATATGTAATCCAAAGCATTAAAGAATACCTTTTAAACATTTTTCATATAGGCATTATCTATTTATGTAAGGTAAATTTCAGAATGCGCAACAGTTTGTTCCAGATTACTCAGGAAGCAACGGAAGTCATTAAGCCATCTAAATTTTTGCTTCATTCCTTAGTAGACATTGTAGTTTGAAAAGTGCTTTCAAGTTCATACCAACTTGACAACCATTTAGGGACAATGTTGCCAAAGAGCAGCACTAAAATCTCATGAAACAACTCACAGTTTGTATCTTCCTTTTGTAGGTGAAGAATTAAAGCACTGAGAAATGCATAGTTTATAAACACACCACCACTACCACCACCATCTGTTTGAACTTTTCAGCCTCTCAATTCCTTCAAGACCAACAGGGGCTGCATGCCACATCCTTTGACACAAACAAGAAATAGTTGAGCCTCCCTCTCTTCTGTCCTTGCTCACTTTACATGCCCACCACACAACCAAACAGCACAGAAACCTCTTGTTACCAGTTGGCATCCGTGCTCTTGGGTCACCCAAACAAGGAAAGGCCTCAGCCTCACCTGTTCCTCTCACTGACGTGAACTGACCACCTCGTGAGGTGGGACGTGCAATCCCACACCTCGACTTCAGGTCTGTAATTGTTATGCCAGCAGCCCAAGATAAGCCTGAAGCCCTCATACAAGTCGGATGTCATGGGCTCCGGTCTCCTGAGGACCTGCTTTCCTGTTATTTTTCTATTCGTGCTGGGGCTCCACAAGGAGAAAGCGTTCTGGTAACCACCACCCCTGCAACAGTCTCTCTGCTGAATGAATGGAATAGCTGAATCACTTTTCCCTCAGAGCTACTTAGGTCTGCTTAACCAGCTTTTCATCCTCTCGCTAGCTCAACTTTCTCTTTCTTTTGCAGACGGCTAGCACCTTGGTTGTGGCTGACTCTAGAACTTCTGGAATCTACAGTTGCAAGGCTTTTAATAAAATAGGAATTGTGGAAAGAAACATAAGCTTTTATGTCACAGGTAAGCTATACATACGGACTCTACCCACAAAGACAGGGTAGGTAACCTCAATCTCTGTTCCCTGTTGGCTTTTACTGCACTTAGATCTTGAGTCTATTTTTTTTTTTAATAAAAACGTTCTACAGAATTGTCAAGCTCTGAGTACCTTCATCCTTGCTCACAGGAATAGAATTCTACAATATCATTGGCTTTCTGAAGGGTTATTTCCCTGAATTCTCAAGTTATTTCTGTGTCTCCTTCCCAGACTGGATTCTAAATTTGGGATCTCGAATGCTCACTTTCGTACTCCCTTCAGGACCCAGCAGAGGGTCTGGCACTCAGCGGCTGTTCAGTCACACTTGTGGAGACCTGTTATAGTCCCTGTGATGGCACCATATTTTTTTTAAGCTTAGAAGTCCATGGTTGAAGTAATTCAGACCTTTGGGGGGAATGAGACTCTCCTATAAAAATTTGAAGCTGAGCTTTGTCAGTAATAATTAGTGGGTTATTTTTGAACATTTAAGAATTTTCAATTTTAAATATGATGGCCACTGCAGATCTTAAAACTTGCAAGGTACACGAATGGCACTCCCCATGCCCCTCCATGGGTACAGGAAGGAAGTAAGTAGCTCAAAGTATTAAAACAATTGCCTGGCTCCACACTCCCCCAATTTCTGAGGAAACCTGGGCAGTTTGCCAACCCTCTGGAAATTTTGCACTGCATGGGACAGGCTGCAGACATTGCCTAGAAGTCTCTAAAAAGAAAGAGACAGGACTCATTTCATGAGACCATTGGGTCGTTGACTGACAGGAGCCTTTGGCACGTGAGCCAAGTCCCAAAGAAGCTGGGCCATGGGAGACTGGAAGACACCCTGAAGGAGATTCTCACAAGTCAGGGCCAGACAGCACCTCTTCGTCCTCCAGTCACAACAGAGTGACTCTAGACCTAGGCAGTCCCGGGTTCTTCTCACCTTACAGAAGATGGAAGGGAAAATACCCCTCCGCTCCCAGCAGGAAAGGCCTTTCCTCAGGAAGGATTCTCACAGAGATTTCACCCAGATTAGTTCTCAAGTAAATCCAGTTGACTTGGACTAACTACACTGCACTGTTCTTATACTTGGTTGGAAACAAGTTACTATCTGAATCCATGGTCAGTATAAGTATGGTTTAGAAGACAAAAAAAAAAAAATAGAGCAATTCATTCTGTTTTGAACATTCAGCAAGCTTGCAACAGTTAATGGCACTCACTGTGAAGTAGCACAGTTCAAGACTGTACTGAACACTTGAAGAGACATCAGCCCAGCCCTGCATGTTTCTAGGAGGAAGATGAGGAAATGTTAACTTACACATCTCCTAGACTCAAAATGTGTGTTTGAGGAAGTAATGTGACAGATGAATTTATTCTATAGCATCACCACTGTCCAACAGACATAACTGAAATTTTTCTGGTGCTTGCACATTTAACAGAATAAAATTTTATTTAATCCAGTATATCTAAAATATTATAATCTTAGCATTTAGTCAACATTTGAGGGGTTTTGGTGGTTGAACCCAAGACCTTATGCAGGTGTTCTACCCCTGAGCTATACCCCCAGCCTTGTGTTCAACAATTTAATTAATTAAGATATTTAACAAATTAATATTTAAATAAAATAAGTGGAATAAAATTCAGGCCTTCAGTCACAAAAGACACTAGCAAGTACTCCAAAGCCACGTGTAGCTAAAAGGGTACCGTGTTGGATAGTCAGCTCTAAGCCTCTGAGACGGAAACAGAATTTGAGGGGCACTAGACTGGAGGAGAATTTGAACAGATAAAGAAGAGGCTGAACTTGCCCTAATGCATTCAGAGCCAAAGCAGAGTGTAGTGGGGGCAACAAACCTCTCTTCAGCCACTGACAAATCCTAAGGTCTTCCAAAAAGCCTTTAATATGTTTCAGCTTCCCAAGATCAAAAATATATTCAGGAGGACCTAGAAAGCCAGGACAGGGTTAGAGTTTGGGGGCTTTTCAAAGATGCAGAGTAGACTACAGCAGCAGTGGGCAGAGCAGCAGGACTGGCTCGCCCCTCACTGTGTCCCTGTGAGCAAGAGGCTGTGCACGCACCTATGGCCACATCTGCCCACATCTGCCATATCCAGGCCCACATCTGCCCCCCCTGCCGAGGCCCTTCACAGAGCCTTTCTTTGGCCGCTTCTCAGGCTAACCTATCAGTATGCACACTGACAAGTGATCTCAGCCAGCCCTCCTAAGAAGAAGAACCTGAGCCAGTCTGGAGGCAAATTTAGGATCATCATTTCTAGGAATTTTGGGACCCCCATACCCCCTGAGCATTGTCTGGAGTGGAGTGGGTTCAGGGTGGGCATACCGCCTTGACTCATAGATGCTTCACATTCTAAGGAGGGGTCCAGTCAAAACTGAGCCATCTAGAGGCCCAAGGCAAGACACCTCATGCCTGAATTTGAGCGATGTCCTGGGAGAAAACATGCTGAGAGTGAAGGGGAAAGGCATGCTTACCTGCTTCAAACATGATTCTTGGAAGCTCATTAGCATTTCTGGAAATTCAAGAGCTTTGATCTTAAAACTGAACACAGGCCAGGTGTGGTGGTGGTACACACCTATAATCCCAGCACTCTCGAGACACAGGCAAATTTCTCTAAGTTCAAGGCCAACCTGGTCTACATAGTGAGTTCCAGAACAGCCAGGGATACATAGTGAGACCCTGTCTCAAAACAAAACAAAACTGAACACACTTCAGCTCACCCAGCCCCCATTGCCTAGAATATGCTTTCTCTTAATAACACTTTTCTACCAGCCCTGAAAAGTTTGCGTTTGGATCAATGATACATTGAATTGCTTACATTTCACTATTTACTTTTAGCTAAAAGGATTTGATTTTACTTATCAAATCTTATCCCAAGATTTATTTCTTTTATAGATAAGACTAAATACTTCTAGGAATCTTGAACCTTACATGTCTATTTTCTGGGAACAGCAAAAAGAAAACGAATGTGTATGTAGTGTTTGTACTTGGCCCTGCACAACACTTTAAAAGTGACTGTGTAGGGCTGTGTAGGCTGTAATTCAGTGGTAAAATATCATATTAAGAGGCCCTGAGCTCTCAATTCCTAGGAACACTCCCATCCACAGCTATCTAACCTTTTAATGTTCTAAAGATCTAGATTTGGATCATTATTGATCCTCATTTTACTTATTTTATTATTTTTATTTTATGTGTATGAGTGTCTTGCCTGCATGTATGTGAGTGCACCTGTGTCGTGCAATGCCGTGGAGGTCAGAGGAGGGCTTCAGATTCCCCTGGAACTGGAGTTAAGGAGGGTTCGTAGCCGCCATGTGGGTGCTAGGAATCGAACGCAGGTCCTCTGCAAGAGCAGTCAGTGCTCTTAACTGCTGAGCCATCTCTCCAGTCCCATTTTACTTATTTTTATACATATGTGTGTGTGCCTGTATGCGCACCATGTACATGCAGGAACCTGAGGAGGCCAAGGGCGTCAGATCCTCCACGTGGGTGCTGGGAACTTAACCCAGTTGCATTGCAAGTGCAGCAAGTGCTCTTAACCTCTGAGCCATCTCTCCAGCCCCTTGATGTTCATTGTAATTATGTTACCTTTTCTTAAAATATGTAGCTTTTCCTTCCACAGTGAGAACTGGCTAGCTGTGGCCACTGGCCTCTTTGATGGTATCTCCTTCTAACTTTAGAGCTCACTTCTTCACTTTTAAGTAAAGCTTTCCAGTAACCATGATGTTCTTTCAGGGACTGTTACTGGCATTCTTCAGTGGAAGTAAAATGTTCCACATTTCCCCTTAGTAAATGAGAGGGCCTCACCCTTTTCAGTTTCTGTGTGGAGTGTCCCAGTCAGGTCAAAATGCCCATCCCACATGTGCCCCTGTATAGATAGGCCTGCTCTTTTTACACAAGGCTGAACATGTCTTCTGAGAGGGCTGGCTCAGCTCCTTAACCTTTCGGGAGACTGTTCATGCACACAATAGATGGATGAATGTTATTTGATGATGGTAATCGTGTTGAATGTGCCACAGATACTGTGTGGGATGGCCTCTTCTTACTTGTAGAATTAGAAGTCTGTTTTGTACTCAGACAAAAAAAAAAAAATGAATTAAGGAGAAAATCCTTCTGGCTTCATTAAGCAGTTGAGTATATTTTATTTGTTGTCTTTCTTCCATGAAATCAAAAGAAAATACCAAAGGATGTTACATTGAGAAACAGACAGTCTTGGCTAAGAGGTGTCTGATGTCTTCAATAAGTGTGTCCCCGCACAAGAGCAGACTTCAGGATGGATCTGGTTCTTTTCTCTTCCTTGGGTGTGTTTTGCAGTTTTGCTGGCACTCCATGACTATGGGCGTGTGAGCAATCTCTAAGGGTGAAACAGGAACGGCACTGCCTTATCTCCCTGATTTCCCAATGTCACTAAATGCATTTTATTTTGAGATTCCTGGTGGTGCTTGGCAAAGATAAACAAAATCTTCCATCAGGAAACCTGTGAGCTATTTCCACAGGAAGTTTCAAATCACTAAAGTAAATAGAAACTCTCTACATGAACTCAATGGTGTGACTGGGCTCCCTGGGTTCCAACCACCAGAACAAGGCCTCCTAAATACAAGGGCTGTGGTCTTAAGACATGGTCTGCCTGCAGCCAGTGCAGAGCTCTTTGCTCTGGTCTCTGTGTGAAAGATGATAAGGAATATATTTCGCCCCACTTGGAACGTATCCAAAATGTAAAAAGACGCTGAATTAGAGCAGCTATTTCTGACACCTTATTATTAGGTTCTAAATGACTGGCAATTGCTGCTGCATCTTCTGGCACTTTTCATTGTATAGCAGGAAAGACTCCACTAGCCTCGTTTCTCCCTAACCACCATCGCTTTGCAGGCCTCTGTTACCCCCTGCTTCTAGGTTTCAAATGAATACTTTGGCATTTCTTCAGACGTGACATTTTATAATAAAGCCAAAGCCAGAAAAATCAGAAAAACAAGCAAAGTGAGATTTAGGAAAGAGTTGATATGATATCTAATTTTGGACTATTGTCCCTTAAGGTTTAAAGGTTTCTTTATTGCTTTGTGTGCAGAGGATAATAATAATAACAGCATAACACAGTGCTTTTCATCTTCAAAGCACTTTGTGAAATGTTGGCCCAAATTCTTTACTCAATATAGATGCATCCCAGTAGCAATGGGAGGATATTGAGAATAAGTCAGTTCAGGGCCAGTAGTCAGTGATTTAAAAAAAACCCTCCAGTGTGGGCTGGAGAGATGGCTCGGTGGTTAAGAACACTGGCTGTTCTCATAGAAGACCAGGGTTCGAATCCCAGCACCCACATAGCAGCTAACAACTGTCCTTAACTCCAGTTCCAGGGGATCCAACAGCCTCTTCTGTCTTCCTCCATCATTGTACGACACGAGTGCACTTACCTACATGTAGACAATACACTCATACACATAAACTAAAAATTTTTTTTAAAAAACCCCTCCAGTGTGTGGTTCAAAATGACACTCAAATGACAGTCTTGGGAGGACTGCTGAGGTGCTGGTGCGCAGGTTTGCATCTGGGTCCTTAGTGGACCTGAGAGATGGTGAGAATTCACACCAAACAGAATGGCTTTCAGTGACGCCATCACCTTCAGAAGTATTTTTCATTGCTGTTTTTGAGACAGTGTCTCATGTAGCCCACGCTATTCTCATACTTACAGTGTAACTGAAGTGACATGGAACTCCTCCTTCTGCCTCCTCTGTCTCGCAAGTGCTTAGATTACAGGCATGCATACCACACTTCACTCCTCAGAACATTTTTAGAGTAAATACATTTTTTTTCCCCCTTGGGGTGTTGGGAATCACACTCAGGACCTCATTCATACTAGACAGTCTTCTACCACTGAGATATATACTCCCAGCCCCAAACTTTCCTTTTAAAATCAGTTGCCATTTTGGAATCTGGAGATAGTTCCAGATGTGTCTGCATTTTTAGAAGAAATATTTGTCTTTTGTGTCAGAATAGAACCAGCTCCATGTATGGAGTCTGGATGGATGTCGTCCTCTGGCCCATGGGGCTAGCAGAGAGCTGGGACAGTTCAGGAAGGGTGGGGAGGAGGCCACTGTGGAGGAGCGGCCACTCGGGGATGGCACCGACTCAGGGCTGGCACTGACTGGTCTGACTAGCTTCCTACACTCACTTGTAAGGTGTACTTCGAGCTAGTGTGCCTGTATACACATCTTTGGGTTTTAGTACAAATTGCTCTCAAATTACTTTTCTCTTCTGCTCTATTCAAACATCAGCTTAGCAATAGGAGGACAGTACATGATAAAGAAATGGTAAGCAGGGTTCTGATTCCAAGTTAGAAAAAACATTTCATTGTGAAGAGCAACTCTAGGCAAATGAGGAAAAGGTATTGTCCCAATAACTGTCCCTGCTTTGCATTTCCTGTGCCACTTCCTGTGGGATGACCTCCACTGGCTCTTCCTGCTCTGTTTGATCACTTCCCCTAACACAAAAAGATAAAATACTTGTCCTTCTCAATGCTTGTGCTCAGAGAATTTGGTGGGACTAATTCTCACAGTTCCAGAATAGCTCAGTGTGAGACACTGAGTTCTCTGTGATCTAAGTTCTTCATTCTTATTTTACAGACGTGCCCAATGGGTTTCATGTTACCTTGGAAAAGATGCCTACTGAAGGAGAGGACCTGACACTGTCCTGCACAGTCAACAAGCTCCTGTACAAGGACGTTATTTGGATTCTGCTGCGGAAAGTAAACAACAGAACAATCCACCACAGCATGAGCAAGCAAAAAATGGCTATCATTAAAGAGTACTCCATCACCCTGAACCTTGTCATCAAGAATGTGTCTTTGGAGGATTCGGGCACCTATGCCTGCAGAGCCAGGAACATATACACAGGGGAAGAAATCCTTCAGAAGACAGAAGTTATCATTAGAGGTGAGCACTGCAACAAAAAGGCTGTTTTCTCTCGGATCTCCAAATTTAAAAGCACAAGGAATGATTGTACCACACAAAGTAATGTAAAACATTAAAGGACTCATTGAAAAGTAACAGTTGTCTCATATCATCTTGATTTATTGTTACTGTTGCTAACTTTCAGGCTCAGAGGAGATGCTCCTCCCAAAATGAGTTCGGAGATGATAGCGTAATAGTGAGCCCCCAGTGCCCGCTGGCCCGGGGTGCTCTCGGGCGACCTGGTGCGCGTTTGGATTTGGAGGATCCCTGCACTGCCTTCTCTGTGTTTGCTCTTCTGTCTTCTCCTGCCTGATAGACAACAACTTGGGACTGATCCTTTCCTTCCACTTTGATGCCAACCTCTTTTTATTTTTAACGTGTGAAGCTGCACAAACTGAATAATTTAAGCAAATGCTGGTTTCTGCCAAAGATGGACACAAATAAGTTAATTTTCCAGCTCAGAATGAGTACAGTTGAATTTGAGTCTTTGTCGGACTTATACCTGGTTTTATTTTGTACTATTTCATTTGCTCTTGACTTGTAAATAGTACCTGGATAGCAAGTTATAATGCTTATTTATTTGAAAATATTATTTTTTACATTAAGCGTATTGATCTTAAACTGGAGTTTCTAAAATGGGTCCCAGGTGTGCAAGATGTTGATATAATTCAGAGAGTAAGCTCTGTCCCATTATGAAAGTACAAGAGTCAACCCCACACTCCTCTGTCCCTAGCAGGTAATTGTACGGTCATTTCCTCAGTAGGGAGTCCAACAACTAGTCTCTGCTCCTCATTGCCCTGGACTGGACTGGCAACTCCCAGTGGCATGTAGAGTGCAGCAAGCCTTCACTCTAAATATTCATGGATCCTGGGTATTACTTTAAAGACCTCCATCATGCCACTGGCATTCAAAGGTGTCCATAATCAGTTCATCTAGGAAATAACAGCTATTGTGATTAGAGATTTAATTCATTCTTCTAGATGTTCATTGAAAAATATACCCATTTTTTAAAAAAATCCACTTTCCCCATATACAAATGTTAATGGGATTTTAATGGGGATTAAGAAATGGCAAAACTACAGAAACAGAATTAAAATTATTTAAAAATCCATGCCTTTAAAAAATCAAGAGCAATTATAATGTCTTACTTAAACTTGCATTTGAAGGTACTTTTTCATCAATTTAATATGCATTGTTCTGTCTTCATTTATGATTGATCATTGTATGTGACTTGCATGCACTATAGGGGGGAAAAGCCAACTATAATGAATAGTGTGGCTAAGAAACACGGTGGCTGGGCAGTTCAATAGGAGGTGACAGTGTGACAACTTTTCAAGCTTGGGAACTCACCAGCCTGTTTCCTCCTTTAGGTAACAGACTCTGTCCCAGAGCTAAACTTGTCTTTCACGTGGGAATTGCTTTTGTCAAGTGTGAAAGAGTAAACAATAGCATTTCCCCCAAATGCCAGTTTTATGGAGCCCCAAATGCTCTGAAAACAATTAGTAACCTGGAAGTTGTCAGCCCAGAGGAAAGAATAATCAATTGTATCTAGAAGTTTTACCTATGGCTCTGTGGCCTGGCCTCTTTGTTCATTCCGAGGCAGTGTGTTCCTTCAGGAAACAATGCCTTAGCACCACTAAGAAGAACTTGGGGCCTCAATTTTTAGGGAAGCTAAAAAAACAAATGGAAAGATTTAGGGATCCCTCACTTTAAAAAACTGTGAACTAGACATGCAAAATCTACTGTTTCCTTCCCTGTGAGGAAGGGAGGATGTTAGTATTACAAGAGATCATTTTAAGAATTCCAAAGAATAATGATTGTTCACTGTGTGATTAACCCTTCCAGAAAAATTCTTTTTAAAAAGAAACTGTTATATGGATTCTCTTTTGTTGTCATTCTTTGGGGTATGAAGCGAGGTGAGGGTAAGAGAGAGAAAAAGAGCCTAGAGATAAGGCTGGCAGAAGGGCAGGGGTATGAGGCTGGCTCCTTTGCCCCTTCCATCCAAGTAGAGAAAGGAAACCATGTCTTTAGGGTCTTGGGACCTGCCAGTAACCTGGGGTCATACCTGAAAAGGAAAAGAAGCCCCTGTGGGCAGCTGTCTTTGGCTACTGATAACCAGCAGAAATACTCTTAATTCTGATTATCTTAGTAGAAGGGATCAGCTACACTGTGTTAAACTTGGGAAAGTAGGTCTCCATAGCTACCAATGTGTGTATGGGCTCCCTCCTCCTTTCTTACTTAAAATGTCAAAATACATTATACAATGAATGAAGTAGATGTAATAAAACATGATTCTTAGGTTGAGCGTCCATTTAGACAGTAGCCAAAAATGAGACATTTAATATAGAGAAAACATTTTTCATGAATAACCCCTAACACTGTATGCTTCAGAGTGTTCATGTGAGCCTTGTATTTAAATTGAGAGTTCCTTGTTTATTTTGCAGCTTTTTTTGCTGCTTGTATGAAGGTTGTATAGTACAAATAGGGCCCTTTGGAAGTTCTTTGTGACATTTTTGTTAAAATAAAACCTTCTCTTCTATATGAGTATTATTTTCTATTTGTCAGGGGACTGTAAATCCTGTTTGTACTGATGATGATGTTATGAATTATAACAACAAAAATCATTTGTGTTTTATAGGCCCTATATTCAAACTTCTTTTTTTAAGGCCCATACGCAATGGTAAATCATTTTATCCTATTTAATGCATTGGAAATAGTAAAATGTGCTGGAGGAAGCTGTGTAACTCAGTGCACTGGGTCTGAGTTTTAAAAGAGATATGTGAAAGGGGGCTTGGCACTGTAAAAGATACTAAAGAGTAATGTGATTTTGTTCTTTATCTTGTCATGTTTCACTGGTGTGTTGTAAAAATGTCAAAATTGTAATGCACAAATATAGCCCAAGATAGTGTCTATTGAAGGTTCTATATGAGGCTGCATCTTCAATTAGGAAAAGCTGTTTGACAGATTGCACAGAACGCAAACACAGAAATGTGGTAATGGTTCCGCCTGTGAGGGTGACAGGAAAGATGCTCTTTTTGAAAGAGACAAAAAGAGCACTGCTGTCATTCAGTCTGCCCTAGTCTTGAAGAAGCTTTCATTAGTCGGCACTTCCTTCTACACTCTTTCGCCTTCAGATTTTATTTTATAGAAAACAAGAAGACTAATGTTAAGCTATGGAAACCAAAATCATTGATCAATCTCCTAACTGATAGTAACTCTACCACATTAACTACTTCAGCATGGTATATGATAAGATACTTTTTAACCTGGGATTTCTAAATGGCTTTAACAAATGCTGATCCTGAGAGTTTTCCTGCAGGAATTTAAAGAGAAAGGTGTGGGGACCCAGCAGACTCCTGCAGGGACGTGGAATCAAGGCCATTGCACTGCATCACCCTTTGTAGCGTTACCACTCCTAAGCTGCTCTCCCCGTGTTAATACACTAAGATGAGGAATCAAAACTGGTCAGAGAAAGCTCAGACCAGTGATGCAGAATGTGTAAGTCATGCCAAAACTCTTGAGGTTTCTATCCTAGGATTTTCAACAAGAGGGGGAAAGGAGGATTTGGGAGGGAGGGAAGACATTAGGAGTGGTTTTTGTTCTTTCACCTCGGGCTTCAGATCCAGTCCCCGCCTCACTAGAATGTATACTCATCAGCAGGACTGACTGACTACTTCATTAAGCAGAGACACTGTACTCATTGGGCCCTGGGGGTACTGTGGCTCCTATGTGGGATTTTAATATTATAATGTATTGCATCTTAATGTATTAAATTCATTTTGTTGTACTATATTGGTTGGCATTTTATTAAAATAAATTGTACCATATTTGTATGTTTTAAGAGAAAATAATATAAAATACAATATTTGTACTATTATATAGTGCAAAACCTACAAATCTGTGCCTCTGCCTCTTGAATTAACCCCTTTGGTTGCTTGCATTTGGGAAGGGAATGGAGGAAGGGAGCAATCAATAAAGCTTTCAAAATTTAAGAATTTTCCTGTTTGGTCTGCTGCCTTACAATTTAGGTTACAAAGTGACACAAATACACCCTCATAAATATCAATATAAATGCACATGGAAGTGGGCAGGGAGCGTAGTTTAGCCATAAGCATTTATTTCCTAGCATTCAGGAGTCCCTTGGGTACATTCGGAAAACAAACATGAGATTACATTAGCTCATCACAACACTATATGGGAGTGAAAAAAATTATTACAACACTACATACAAAACCACGTTTTTTAATTTTTAGTTCTGAAAACATATGAAATCCTTGGGTTTTCAGAAAGCTTTTCTATCTAAAGAAAGAAAAAAGACAGAAATGAGTTGGCCAAACAAAAACCTGTGTATTAGAATCTAAAAATATAGACTTCAACCTAGTCCTTGATCTAACTGTATTCTAACACATTACAATGTGTTGTCTCATCCTATTAAGAGGAAGCAGTAGTTGAACTACTGAAGCAAAAGTGAACAAAATTCCTGTGAAGTCTTGTGGTCATGTTGGGTGTTTCTGTACATCTTTAAAATGTTGATCTGTATGTGTAGTAAAAGAGTAAGACCAGTGAGTAATCACAACCTGCTTTCTTTCTTCACTAGATCAGGAAGCGCCACACCTGCTGCAGAACCTCAGTGACCACACAGTGTCCATCAGTGGCTCCACCACCTTGGACTGTCAAGCTACTGGTGTCCCAGAGCCTCAGATCACTTGGTTCAAAAACAACCACAAAATACAACAAGAACCTGGTAAGAGAGTCTCCTTTGCACTTGTCCTCCTCCTTCCCACTCCTTTTCTCCTGACCTCTCTGTCACCTGCCTCCCCTGCCTCTAAAGCCACTTATTAGCATGCTTAGCTTGCTTTCTTCAACCCCCAACAAGGAATCTTTGAGCTGGTTCTACCACCCAATGCCTAACCCTGTAAAAGACTCTTTCAGCATCTGTTCAACAGGAATGCTTCCAACAGTTTATTGGGAAAGAAATGAGGAGAGGCCACCTAGAAAATGGCTCACTTTACCTTGACAGCTGGAAAAGTGAGGAATGAATTTCTTGGCTTGAGATACTGTAGAGTTTTGAACACCTGGCACATAGGAAGTTCAGAATAGATTTACAATCTTTTCAATTAATCTATATTAATTTTAATAATCGGGAGAGAGAAAAGGCTATTTTATGTTATACTGGTTTATAAAAAGTTTTATAAAAAGTTTTCTAAATTGTTTCATCTGGGTTATTTTCTTTCAACAATAAAAACAGCTAAAATAAAAGCAGTGAGGATAAGCCAGGCCAGCACTTGGGAGGCACAGGCAGGGGGATTTCTGTGAGTTCGAGGCCAGCCTGGTCTGCATAGCAAGTTCCAGGCTAACTAGGCTACAGGGAGACCCTGTCTCCAAAAGACCAAAACACAAAACAAACAACAAACAAAAAATACTGTTATTGCCTGCTTCATAATGCTATGGTTAAATAAAATCACATTGAACTTACTTATATTTTTAGGTAACAATTATATTTGCAGTAAAAAAAAATAAAATAAAATTGACACTGTCTAACATGTATAAGAGCCTGGTCCAATGCCATTATCACAAATAAAATTGCCACTTATTTGCAACGTTCAACAGCCTAAATCACACAAGTGGCAATTCGGAGTGGTCCTTAAATGTGAGTCTTCTCAGAAAGAAGTCTCCCTGTTGAGTCTGTCAGGAGCAGGCTGTGGTGTAACAACCCCAAATTACCATACTGGCAATGTCTCAGAAAGGAATTACATTCCACAGTGCAAAACCAGCCATGTCACATCTTCTCTAGAAAGCAGCACATGTCACTTTAATGCCCTGGGACCTGGCTCTGATCCTTCCTCTACACAGAGGAGCCAAGCTCCTCTCTGAAGCCTTTTTCCTAATGGATGTTTCTACTTCTCTCTCACTGAGGTCTTTTACAAATATAATTATCTGTCATATGTGTCTGTATCATCTAAGCATGTTTCTTCTGTTCTCTTACTGCCTTATCTTTTAATCAAAAGTTGATATCTATTTCCCTTCAGAGAGAGAGTAGCATCTTATGTGTGTCCTTATATCTTCAGAACCTAGCACAGTGCTTGGCAGTCAGTCAAATGCCCCCTAAATTATGACTGGATGTCTTTCAGAGGATCTTATGTTACCCTTAGTAAGTTCATTTGGCAGTGCAAATACCTAGTTTTGGGGAAGAGTCCATACCATAGAACTATCAAAGCTGAGGAGATCTTTGGAATAGCTTTAGTCCAATATGGAGAATAGAAAGCCTGGCCCAAAGAGGCTAAATGGTTTACCAAGATGACATACTGTCAAAATGATTAGCTTCATGGGAAAGTTAATCCCCTTGAAGTGTTTGACCAAATAAAAGGATGAGTAAATACATGAACAAACTAGTGACTGGTAAAGGATACAAGTGACATCTTTCCTTCAGGGATGCAAAGTCCATATATCATAAAGATCAGAGAAATCCTGGATTACAAAAGCTTGGCAAAGTGATTTCAATTCTGTATTCTCTAAATTTACTTGATCACAGCTTATATTTCATGAAATATTAATACAAGATGGAGAATAGTTCTTGGAAAGAAGTAAATCTGACCTAAATTCAGTTGTCACATTGAATTTGAGTTAAAAGTCAGACATGACCGGGCGTGGTGGCGCACACCTTTAATCCCAGCACTGGGGAGGCAGAGGCAGGCAGATCTCTGTGAGTTCAAGGCCAGCCTGGTCTATATAGTGAGTTCCAGGACAGCTGGGGCTACAGGGAGACCATGTCTCAAAAACACCAAAAAAAAAAAAAAGTCAGACATGGTGGCTCATGCCTATAATCCCAACACTTGGAAGGTGGAGGCAGGAAGATCAGGGTGTGTTTACTTCAGTGAATTAACATATAACTAAATTGGCCATAGTCATAGCCTCTAACACACCACCTTCTGACTCATTTATACAGAAACTGGCCAATGAGTTGTCAGAATTCACTGGACAGCATCAAGAACAAAATAAGTTATCTTAAATACCAAATAGCTCTAACAAAACAAAATAAGATAATCTATACCCAAAGAAATTATAAATTTTATATAAATTCTTATGTAACATCTCTAATAAATATCACTTTAATAATATACTACTGTTAGTGTTTATTAAGCTTAATTATGCTCTGCCAATTTTTCTCTTTTACTTTTTAAAATTACTATAGCTAGGCCAGTGAGATGGCTCAATGGGTTAGTTGCTTGCTGCCAAGTCTGATGACCTGAATTCAGTTACCCAGGAAACACATGGTGGAAGGGGAAAACCAACTCCCATTAGCTGTCCTCTGACCTCTGCATGGGTGCACCCCCCCCCACCACACACACACACAAATAAATGTAATTTTTATATTGAAAAAAGGAACCCCACTATATCCTTCTGGAAAGGAAGTTCTTTTTTTTTTTTGGTCTTTTTGAGACAGGGTCTCCCTATAGCCCTAGCTGGTCTGGAGCTCACTATATAGACCAAGCTGGCCTTGAACTCACAGTGGAAAGGAAGTTCTTAACAGTTAGCATGTATGCAGCATCCATGAAGTTCAGTGTGTAACCTCATGAAGCAGCAGATGCAGTGTTAAATGTAACAGGTTCTGTATCTGTAGCCGAGTTCCACCTCACATATGGGTAACACCAAATGTACCAGCTCCACTGTGGTTATTTCTGTTACAAACCACAGTGTTCAACCTGACTTGCCAGTGTTCCATCAAGCTAAAACTTCCTTCATTATGTGGTAAGCCAGTGAGTGAGGCCAGACTAAGTTTGAAACACTGAGCACAGCACCCAGGATGCATCTTCCATATAAAGCCTGGCAGCTCAAAGAGGGCTTCTACATCCAGAGACTTAGGGAGGTTGGTTCATTAATAGGATCCAGCCCACTATCATTGTTACTTGTTAACTGATAACTCTTTCTCATTCCAAAGAAAATATGAAGGAGGAAGCAGGGCACACATGCGAGCTCCAGCTCCGGTGACCATAAAATGCCCGTTGAAAGAACAGGCCATTAGGGCCATTGGAGCCTTTGCTGCCTCCTCATTTCCTCTCAGGAAAACCCATCAGAGGGTCACAGCCATTCTCCCAAAGAAATGCAAAGGCAAGAAAGCTGAGTAGTAAATTCTTGGGCCAAAGGGCAGCAGGCAGGAACAAAAGGGATCTCAAGTGTGCATGCAGGCCCAGGAGAGCCTGTGCAGTGGGATGGGGGCCCCTCCACCTCAGCAGCAGAACAAGAGGAAAGACCCAGGCAAACCATATCACTGACTCCTGCAGCCATCATACTGTCGGGTCTCCCTGCAGGTCCACAGGCCTCACCGCTCACTGCCCTTCTCCCACCCAGCTCCCCACATCCTGCCTTTCCCCTCTGCCCCCTGTCTGACAAACTGTCCCACTGAATTCTTGCCACCAGAGGTGCTTCTTTCATGTTCCAGGACAAGGGCTCTTTCTTTCTTCCCAGGTTCCATTCATAACACATGTGCTCAGTTACTCTCAGGCTTTGCGTGCACTTATTTTGCAAACCTTTGAAGATAGGTATGAAATCTTCACATGGTCTTCTTTACTAAGAATAATCACAAATTATTGATCATTCAATCAGGCACCAAGACACTATGTTAAGTATTCTAAAGATAGTTCATTTAATTGTCACAGCTGTCAACTGAGGCAGGCACATGTTTCACAGGTAGATTTTACTTAACAAATACCAACAAGGTGTCCAGGACTGCTCTAAGCACTTTCTTGCTATTAATTTGTTTTCTCCCGGAAGTAATTTGGGGAGGTTTGCTAAATGACAATGCCTATTGTACAGGTTAAAAGATGAAGAAGCAGAGAGAAGAGAAATAACTAGGCTCAGGTCACAGAGGTAGTGGGCAGCAGAGTTTGACTCTGTTATGTGGGCTCTGAGCCCAGGCAATTAAAAATTAGTTCACACTACTCACAAAAGAACAGATGAGCACCTGTTCTAAACGATCTGGTTGACATTGACAAAACATATATTTAAAACACATATACTGGGGCTGGAGAGATGGCTCAGCAGTTAAGAGCACTGGCTGCTCTTCCAGAGGACCTGGGTTCAGTTCCCAGCACCCACATGGTGGCTAACAACCATCCATAACTCCAGTTCCAGCGGATCTGACACCCTCTTTTGACCTTTGCAGGCATTGCATAATACAGGTTCACTTACACACATGCAGACAATACACGCATACATAAAAAATAAATAAAATGTTTTTTAAAGCATATATTTAAAACAATGAATACTCGGTATTCCTAACCCTCAAACATGAAGGCTCCTAGAGACTTTAGTTCATTTAAAACATTTTTAAAGCATACTAAAAACATAGTTTTTAAAAGCTGAGCGTGTATATATAAAAATGAAAATTGTTTTTATGTGTATGAGTGTTTTGCCTGCATGTATGTAAGTGTACCACATGGATACAACGCCCATGAAGGTCAGAAGATGGCATCAGATCCCCTGAAACTGGAGTTATGCATGGTTGCTAGTTGCCGTATGGATGCTGGGACCCAAACCCAGGTCCTTTGCAAAAACAGCCAGTGCTCTTAACCTCTAAGCCATTTCTCCATCCCCAGATAAAAATTATTTTGAACTCAAATCCAGTTACTTTTAAGCTTTACAAAGTCCAGAATTAACGTCATGTTAGCTCATCCCTCATTTGTTTATTTACAAAATATTCATGAGGTACTGCTCTGTATTTGGCTGTGAAATATACAACACTGA